TATACAGCTGCACCATTGAGAGCATCCTGACTGGTTGCATCACTGCCTGTTATGGCAACTGCTCGGCCTCCGACCGCAAGGCACTACAGAGGGTAGTGCGTACGGCCCAGTACATCACTGGGTCCAAGCTTCCTGCCAACCAGGACCTCTATACCAGGCGGTGTCAGAGGAAGGCCCTAAAAATTGTCAAAGACTCCAGCCACCCTAGTCATAGACTGTTCTCTCTGCTACCGCACGGCAAGCGGTACCCCCTCTTTTACGCTGCTGCTACTCTCTGTTTATTATCTATGCATAGTCACTTTAATAACTCTACCTACGTGTACATATTACCTCAATTACCTCGACTAACCGGTGCCCCCGCACATTGACTCGGTACCGGTATCCCCTGTATATAGCCTTGCTATTGTTATTTTTACTGCTGCTCTTTAATTATTTGTTACTTTTATTTCATATTATTTTATATTGTATTTTTGTTTTATTTTTTGGGGGTATTCTTTCTTAAAACTGCATTGTTGGTTAAGGGCTTGTAAGTAAGCATTTCATTGTAAGGTCTACACCTGTTGTATTCGGCACATGTGACAAATACAATTTGATTTGATTTGACTATGCTAGTGGCAGACTCCACTAAGCTGGCAGGCTGGCTAACAGCCTGCTGCCTGGCTTGCACCCTATCTCATTGTGGAGCTAGAGCCCTGTCTATGTTGATAGATAAGATGAGAGCACCCCTCCATCTAGGATGAAGTCTGTCACTCCTCAGCAGGCCAGGCTTGGTCCTGTTTGTGGGTGAGTCCCAGAAAGAGGGCCAATTATCTAAAAAATATATATTTTGGGAGGGGCAGAAAACAGTTTCAACCAGCGATTGAGTTGTGTGACTCTCCTGTAGAGCTCATCACTCCCCCTAACTGGGAGGAGGCCAGAGACAATTACTCGATGCCGATACATCTTTCTACCTAATTTACACGCTGAAACTATGATGCGCTTGGTGACCTCTGACTGTTTCATCCTAACATTGTTGGTGCTGACGTGGATAACAATATCCCTATACTCTCTACACTCGCCAGTTTTAGCCTTAGCCAGCACCATCTTCAGATTAACCTTTATGTTGGTAGCCCTGCCCTATGGTAAACACTGGATGATCGCTGGATGATTATTTTTAAGTCTGATATTGCGGATGATGGAGTCGCCAATGACTAGGGTTTTCAATTTGTCAGAACTAAATGGTGGGAGGCTTCGGCGGCTCAGACCCCGTAACGGGTGGAGGAGAGACCTGAGAAGGCTTGGCCTCTGACTCTGACTCGTTGCTTAACGGGGAGAACCGGTTGAAAGTTTCTGTCGGCTGAATGAGCAACACCGTTTGAGCATGCCAACAGCATTTCTTTCCAGAAGCCTTGAGAAAATTGTCCGGCTGCGGGGACTGTGCAGGGGGATTTATACTACCATCTGTACTTACTGGTGGCACAGACGCTGTTTCATCCTTTCCTATACTTAAATTGCCCTTGCCTAACGATTGCGTCTGAAGCTGGGCTTGCAACTCGGCTATCCTCGCCATAAGTCGATAGTTCTCCTGCATATTATGAGTACAGTGTCTGCAATTAGATGGCATAGCGTTAATGTTACTACTTAGCTTTTTCGGTTGGTGGAGGTCCTGTATAACCATGTCCTGATAAAGCGTCCAGGGTGAAAAAGTTGAATGAAAAAGTCAAGCGAGGTAAGAACTAAGACATTGGTAAATTTGTTAAATACAGAGTGTTGATGAAATGGTTATTAAAAGTAAAAAACTAAAAGTTTGGCAGGTAGCCAGGTAGCAACAAACAGCACAACAACACAGAGATAACGCGGAAGTGTGATGTCAACTGACGATCATTGCTAGACAGCCATTTTCAAGTTTTGCCATAGATTTTCAAGCCGACTTAAGTCAAAACTGTACCTAGGCCATTCAGAAACATTCAATGTCGTCTTGGTAAGCAACTCCAGTGTATATTTGGCCTTGTATTTTAGGTTATTGTCCTGCTGAAAGGTGAATTTGTCTCCCAGTGTCTGTTGAAAAGCAGACAACCAGGTCTTCCTCTAGGGTTTTGCCTCCGCATAGCTCTATTACGTTTATTTTTATCCTAAAAAAACTCCCTAGTCCTTGCTGATGACAAGCATACCCATAACATGATGCAGCCAACACCATGCTTGTAAATATGAAGAGTGATACTCAGTGATGTGTTGTGTTGGATGTGCCCCAAACATAACGCTTTGTAATCAGGAAATAAAGGGCATTTATTTGCCAATTATTTTGCAGTTTTACTTTAGTGCCTTATTGCAAACAGGATGCATATTTTGGAATATTTGTATTCTGTACAGGCTTCCTTCTTTTCACTCTGTCATTTAGGTTAGTATTGTTGAGTAACTACAATGTTGTTGATCCATCCTCAGTTTTCTCCTATCACAGCCATTAAACTCTGTAAGTGTTTTAATGTCAACATTGGCTTCATGGTATAATATCTGAGCAGTTTCCTTCCTCTCCGGCAACTGAGTAAGGAAGGACGCCTGTATCTTTGTAGTGACTGGGTGTATTGATACACCATCCAAAGTATAATTAATAACTTCACCATGCTCAAAATGATATTCAATGTCTGTTTTTTTTAAGTTTACCCATTTACCAATAGGTGCCCTTCTTTGCGAGGCATTGGAAAACCTCCCTGGTCTTTGTGGTTGAATCTGTGTTTGAAATTCACTGTTCGACTGAGGGACCTTACAGATACGTGTATGTGTGGGTACAGAGATGAGGTAGTCATTCAAACATCATGTTAAACACTATTATTGCCCATGCAACTTATTACGTGACTTGTTAAGCAAATCTTTACTCCTGAACTTATTTAGGCTTGCCATAACAAAGGGGTTGAATACTTATACTCAAGACATTTCAGCTTTTTATTTGTAATTAATTTGTAAAATTTTATCCATTTAAAATTCTGGCCTGTAACACAACAAAATTTGGAAAAAGTCAAGGGGTGTGAATACTTTCTGAAATCACTGTATAACGTCAGTCACACTTCTTTCAAAAGTTAGTTATTTTGTTACCAATCCTGCGCAGAATTTGCAAATTTTATACACCGTTTTCTCTTTCATTTTTATATCCTATGAACAGGCCTTTATAAATGTGTTGTTTTTGTTGTTGTTAATGTTTCTCAGTTGTATGGGAGATGTATTCTGTTTCTCAACTGAACACATCTGCTGTTACCAAATAAACAACTATTTGTGAATAAACCTAAGACATTTCTGGAATTAATTAACTGTTCTCCCATGGTCAGAGCCGGAGTGAGAATAAAAAGGCAATCAGTGTGTGTGTGTCTGTCTGTCTCTGTCTGTAAACCATACCACCACTCACCAGTTCTTTGTCTGTGCAGGCGTTGAACAAGTCCTGGTCTGAAATGGGGTCTGACAGGTAGGAAAGCAGCAGGTAGAGCCTGAGACCTGTGCACAGCTCGTCTCATCTTCACCTCATTCTGCATGATGGTCACTGGAAACTGATGACAGAGAGTTACAAATGCACATAATGGATGTTTATATTGTAGCAACCTCATCAAGAGGTTCGGACCTCTTGGCGTAACAGTTAAGGTATTGGCTTGACAGTGTCTGGACCTGCATTCGAGTCTCGGTCGGGGCTACGCCCCGAATTTGCAACACTGGTGTCAGAAGTGGGATGACAGTCGTGAGGCCATCATAAAGGTGTGTACATCTGAGGGACTTGGTATAGAGAAGCGTGGAAGGGGGTAATATATCAACCTTAACCCAACACCTAGCGACCTCGTCAAGAAGTTTGTACATCTTGGCGTAACGGTTCAGGTGTTGGCTTGACAGTCGCTGAGCCTGGGTTTGAGTCCCAGTCCAGGCTACCCCTGAATTCGCTACAATATTCTATATTGGTTGAACAGGCTAGAGCCAGTGTTGTAGTGGCATACCTTGGGTGAGGGGTAGCTGGTGAGCCACAGTCTGAAGTCTGGGCTTAAGTCCTCACAGATCTTCTCTAGGGTGGACCACTGAGGTATAAAGAAAGCGGTGGACAGGACATTCTCACTTCTGGTCCACCATGAATATCCTTCCTCACTCACCAATGTGATGTTCAGTGTGTCCAAGAACACTTTTGTCCTCTGATAAATGTATATTTTCCTATTGTAAAATTGGACAGACAGAAGAAATTCAAATAGGTGCCTTCTGGCTTTCCCATCCACGTGCATTATGTCCATTCTCTCCTCCCGTCTCGGCTGTATGCTAATCACATGACTATGCTGGGGCTGCTAACGTTTCAACCGCGGAGAGCGTGTTGCAGCGAGCTGTCAACATTTAATTCATAAACTACACCGTTAACAGGTTTACATTGCGATCTGTAAGTACACAAATGCGTCTTTGGATTGTTTTTGTAAGTGCAAACGGTGTACTCACGGTCCTGGCGAAACGTAATCACTACCTACAGTAACTAACTCTTAGCTAGCTCGTTAGCCTTTTGCTAACTTTAGCCAGCTAATTTTAGCTAGCTAGTGTGAATAGTTCTAAGTTAACTGGTTAGCTATATATGACTGTCTGGTTCTAATCAAATTATGTTCCTCCCTACTGCCAATGTGTCTCTCAATCAGATACAAGGTATGACAGATGACTACTGTAAAGATAAGCTAACTAACGTTATCCAGTACAGCCATCACTGGGTTGTGGAACGTTGTAAACATACAGCCGACTGTTGTTAGCTAACGTTACTGTGTAGTTAGCTAGTCTGTTTATTCTTTCAAACGCGGTTCCTTTAAGTAACGCCTTGCATAGCATTTACGTGAGCAGTTAGCGTTCAGTAAGTAATCAGTGACTGCCATGTCATCTGACAAGTCTTTCTTGCTGGAAGTTTTTAGAATTGTCATTCAGTAAGCCACTAAACAATGACTTCCATAAACAAGTCTGAACTTCTTAACTGTATGTTATTGTCAGTACCCTTGACCCCTCTACTGCTTCCAACTATCAGTTTCTGCCTCAGGCTTTCTCCTGGTATAATGGAGCGGATGAGGTGTGGGCGTCACACCCAGTTGGGCGTGGCATGAGACAGACACACACCCCGGGTGTCTCTTTTACCATCCTGCACCCACCCCACCCCCACCAAAATGGCCTCCAGCTACCCGCCCCCCTTCGAGGGCACAGGGGAGGTTAAGGAGGGCTTCCTGTGCCCGCTGTGCCTGAAGGACCTGCAGTCGTTCTACCAGCTCCAGGAACACTACGAGGAGGAGCACTCTGGGGATGATCGACATGTCAGGGGACAACTCAAGAGTGAGTCTGTTACTGCTGGTCTCTTGTACATTTTTTGCTCTACCAGACTGAATATGCACATCTTGGAGGAGTAAAGGAAATTCTAAATCAAAAGGGCCTCTAATAATACTTTTAGAAGGCATCCTTCCTATCACCCTTGCCTGAAGTAATCACTACTCTCTCCTGTTGGCTGCAGGTCTGGTCCAGAAGGCTAAGAAAGCCAAAGACAAGCTGCTGAAGAGGGATGGCGAAGACAAGCCAGAGACGGGCAGTTATGAGTCCTTCTACTACGGCGGAGTGGACCCTTACATGTGGGAGCCTCAGGAGTTGGGTGAGACTGGGAGCAGTATGCAGGGGGGAAACTGGGAGTAGAGGAAAGGGGTGGGGTGGTGTGGTAGAGGGCTTTGCATCCACTGCTCAAAATCTACACTACGTAAGAGATGAATTGGTCTGGTCATTGAATGCTAGTGAGTCATCTCAACTGAATTGAAAATAAGGGTGTTACATTGTAATGTAACACCCTTCCATCCGGTCTGATGGTGTCCCTCCTATACCCCATAGGAGCCACAAGAAATCATATGGACTTTTTTAAGAAGCACAGAGCTGCCAGGATTGACCACTACGTCATCGAGGTCAACAAGCTCATTATCAGGCTGGAGAAAGTGAGGACTCTCGCACAAACTACAGCAGACAATCACAAGTCGTTTGCCCTTTTGTTTGTCAATCTGATTTTGACACATACAGTAGCAGTTACACCACCCATACTGCAAGGACATGACTCACCATGTATCCTATGTTCTGTTTCAGCTGACATCTTTTGACAGGATGAACATAGATGCAGGCAAAATTAGAGGTGGGTTAAGTGGGGGTCATATTGCAGTGTGTTTTGGTATTCACCATCACATTATACCAGACCCACATTTCTTCTTATGGGTACAGCTCCTCCCAGTGTCATTTTCTTTGTGTGTATCCTGAAAAGCCTCTTCTCTTCCTCTCTCTAGCAATTGAGAAGTCTGTAGTGTCGTGGGTGAGCGACTCTGATGTTCCATTCTGTCCCGACTGCGGGAACAAGTTCAACCTTCGGAACAGGCGACACCATTGCCGCCTCTGTGGCTCCATCATGTGTAGGAAGTGCATGGAGTTTGTGCCCCTGCCTTTGGCTTGTGAGTAGATTTACACACTCTGACACACAAATGAATACATGGAAACACAACACGTTATGGACATATACAACGTGTGCATGTGTTTACACACATCCAGCGATATTACATATTATTACAACATATCTCAGTGTTGCTCAGTGAATCCTCACCCTGTTTGTTCTCTTCTCTCCAGACAAGCTGACCAGTGGGACGCGGGAGGCCCGTAGTGTTACGGGCAGCCAGGGCCAGTCCCAGTCCCCTCCAACAGGGGGCGGCGGGGGCAACGTTAGCGGGATGGGCTCCAGGAGGGGCAGCATCAGCAGCCTGAGCAGCGTCACCTCAATGCTGGAAGAGAAGGACGACGAGAGGATCCGATGCTGCCTCCACTGCATGGACACCCTGATGAAGAGACAGCAGAAACTGGAGGAGAAAGACTACGTGCCTGACATCGTCAAGCTCTACGAGGTAACACAGAGCTCTATTGTGTGCTTCCTCTCGTTCACTATGTAGTGTACTTCCTGTCATTCACCATCCATCTTCCTGTCTTCCTCCCAGAGGCTGAGGCTGTGCATGGACAAGGTGGATGAGAGGGCTCCAGAGTACATCAGAATGGCTGAGTCTCTCAAGTAAGATGTGTCTTAAATAACACCTCATTCCCTATATAGCGTACTACATTTGACCAGAGCTACAGTTGAAGTCGGAAGTTTACATACACTTAGGTTGGAGTCATTAAAACTCGTTTTTCAACCACTCCACAAATGTATTGTTAACAAACTATAGTTTTGGCAAGTCGGTTAGGACATCAACTTTGTGCATGACACAAGTAATTTTTCCAACAATTGTTTACAGAAAGATTATTTCACTTATAATTCACTGTATCACAATTCCAATGGGTCAGAAGTTTACATACACTAAGTTGACTGTGCCTTTAAACCGCTTGGAAAATTCCAGAAAATGATGTCATGGTTTTAGAAGCTTCTGATAGGCTAATTGACATCATTTTAGTCAATTGGAGGTGTACCTGTGGATGTATTTCAAGGCCTACCTTCAAACTCAGTGCCTCTTTGCTTGACATCATGGGAAAATCAAAAGAAATCAGCCAAGACCTCAGGAAAAAAATTGTAGACAAGTCTGGTTCATCCTTGGGAGCAATTTCCAAATGCCTGAAGGTACCACGTTCATCTGTACAAACAATAGTACGCAAGTATAAACACCATGGGACCATGCAACGTCATACCGCTCAGGAAGGAGATGCGTTCTGTCTCCTAGAGATGAATGTACTTTGGTGCTAAAAGTGCGAATCAATTCCAGAACAACAGCAAAGGACCTTGTGAAGATGCTGGAGGAAACAGGTACAAAGGTATCTATATCCACAGTAAAACGAGTCCTATATCGACATAACCTGAAAGGCCGCTCAGCAAGGAAGAAGCCACTGCTCCAAAACCGCCATAAAAAAGCCAGACTACGGTTTGCAACTGCACATGGGGACAAAGATCGTACTTTTTGGAGAAATGTCCTCTGGTCTGATTAAACACAATATAACTGTTGAACCTCGTTAATGTTTTGGAGGAAAGGGGGGGTAGCTTGCAAGCGAGAACCCCATCCCAACCGTGATGCACGGGGGTGGCATCATCATGCTGTGGGGGTGCTTTGCCTGCATGAGAGACTGGTGCACTTCACAAAATAGTTATTAATTATGTGGATATTTGTATTTATTTATTTTTATTTCACCTTTATTTAACCAGGTAAACCAGTCGAGAACAGGTTCTCATTTACAACTGCGACCTGGCCAAGATAAAGCACGCAGTGCAATAAACCAACACAGAGTTCTATGGTGTCAAAACTAAGTCAAAAAATACAACGAAATATAAAAAGATACAGTGTGTGCATATATTGAAGCAACATCTCAAGACAATCAGTCAGAAGTTAAAGCTTGGTCACAAATGGGTCTTCCAAATGGACAATGACCCCAAGCATACTTCCAAGTTGTGGCAAAATGGCTTAAGGACAACAAAAGTCAAGGTATTGGAGTGGCCCATCACAAAGCCCTGACCTCAATCCTATAGAAAATGTGTGGGCAGAACTGAAAAAGCATGTGCGAGCAAGGAGGCCTACAAACCTGACTCAGTTACACCAGCTCTTTTTTTATTTTTTTATTTTACCTTTATTTAACTAGGCAAGTCAGTTCAGAACAAATTCGTATTTACAATGACGGCCTACACCGGCCAAACCCGGACGACGCTGGGCCAATTGTGCGCCGCCCTATGGGACTCGCAATGACGGCCGGTTGTGATACAGCCTGGAATCTAACCAGGAGGTCTGTAGTGACGCCTCAAGCACTGAGATGCAGTGCCGTAGACCACTGTGCCACTCGGGAGCTCTGTCAGGAGGAACGGGCCAAAATTCACCCAACTTATTGTGGGAAGCTTGTGGAAGGCTACCCGAAATGTTTGACCCAAGTTAAACAATTTAAAGGCAATGCTACCAAATACTAATTGAGTGTATGTAAACTTCTGACCCACTGGGAATGTGATGAAATAAATAAAAGCTGAAATAAATCATTCTCTCTACTATTATTCTGACATTTCACATTCTTAAAATAAAGTGGTGATCCTAACTGACCTAAGACAGGGACTTTTTACTAGGATTAAATGTCAGGAATTGTGAAAAACTGAGTTTAAATGTATTTGGCTAAGGTGTATGTAAACTTCCGACTTCAACTGTATATGTGGCTCTGGTTCTGTTGTTTATCCTCATTGTCAAACTTACATTTTCACAGTGCTGGAGAGACCACCTATAACCTGGACACGGCTGGTGGACTGAGAATGGAAGTCCAGAAATACTACGAACTGATCGATGCACTGAGGTACATACCGTTTACAGAATATGTGTTGACTAACTGCAAGTCACTTTGGACTTCTAAATGACCATATTATAACATTCTCTATATATTCATGTCAGTAAGAAGATCTTAACACTGGGAATGAAGGAGGAGCCACAACCCCATCCAAAGACTCTCCAGCTGCAGAGGATGGTCAGATACACAGCCACGCTGTTTGTCCAGGTGAGACCCAGAGGGTACACTACTGTACACACAGAGCAGCTATGGATGAGCTGAATGGCTTACTAAACAGTGATTGATAACTCCGACTGCCACCAGTAAAATATGTTACATAGTATACTCAAGCATCCCCCCCCCCCCCCCCCCCCCACCCACCCATCTCTATCCTTCTCTCTCCCACCCTCCTGCAGGAGAAGTTGCTGGGTCTGATGTCTCTACCCACTAAGGACAAGTATGAGGAACTAAAGGAGAAGAGGAAGCAGGAGCAGGAGAAGAGACTCACGCAGGAGAGACTGGTGAGGAGGCTGCTTATTGTTTAAACTAAAGACCCAACAATGATATTCCAAAAAGGATCTAAAATGTCTATGATACCAGACAAGCAAAAAGCAACACAAGTAGTGTTTTATAATAAAGCTGTCTCTAAAAGCTTACCTTCCTATTTTCTTGCCAGGCTGCCCAGGAGGTCCAAAAAAGGAGGCAGAACTCGGAGAAGAACCGCCCGGCCACCAACACCAATGGGGAGGCTCCCCAGGCCCCCAGGGCCCCCCGCATGACCAAAGCTGGGGGATGGCTGCCCTCTTCCGATACCCTCCACACGGGCGGGGAGCTGGAGGACCCCCTGCTGCAGCAGATAGACAACATCCAGTCATTCCTGCGGCAGGCCAAGGCCGCCCAGAGGCATGACGAGGTGGCCATGCTGGAGGACAACCTCAGGCAGCTGCAGGTGGGGAAACCTATATTATATCAGACATGTACCACAACAACTAGTATTGATCATAGCATTCATTGTGTTGTATGTACTGTGATTACAATGCACCACATCCAGTAGAGCTCTGGTCCAAAATAGTGCACTGTGTAGAAATAGGGTGTTATTTTTTGAACTGTGTGTTTCCCAGGATGAGTACGACCAGCAGCAGACCAGCTTGGCCATCGCTCTGTCCCAGAGGCTGGCCCAGGAGGAGAGTCTACAGCAGGACGAGCTGCAGCGCCTGGAGGACAGAGAGAGGGGGGAGAGGGAGCACAGGGCCCAGAGCCAAGCCCCAGGATCCCAGGCCACATACACCTGGCAGGGCTCACTGAACCTAACCGATATAGGGAGCCTCCGTAGGGAGGAAGAGGGGGAGGAAGAGTTGACCCCTAAAGCAGAGAGCAGCCCCCCGTCCATGAGGGCCTTCCCTGCCCTGACGGACCAGGATGAGGAGTCACCCCCCCGGCTGAGGAGGCTGGGGGGAGATGTGACGCCTCCTGGTGGCGAGGGACAGAACAGCTCCTCCCTCAACCCCTTTGAGGAGGAAGACTCCACCCCTGTGGAGGATCCGTCCAATCCGTTCTTCGAGGAGATCCAGAAGGAGCACAAGGAGGTGGCTAACGGGAAGAAGGAGTACAACCCATTTGAGCAGGAAGAGGAGGGTGGGGAGGAAGAGCAGGGGCAGGCCGAGGGCGCCACTGGCAACCCTTTCGAAGTGAAGGAGGAAAACAATAAAGGTAACCCTTTTAAAGAGGCTTCTGGGTGTATCCTGCCGGGAGCGTCGACCAATCCCTTCGAGGGGGAGGATGAGGAGGCGATGCCAGACGTCGACGTGATCGAGGAGGAGTTGCTGCTGCAGCAGATCGATAACATACGGGCATACATATTTGACGCCAAGCTCAACGGGAGGCTAGACGAGGTGGAGCTGCTGTCAGAGAACCTGAGAGAGCTGCAGCACACGCTGCAGAAACAGAAGAGCAAGACACACTGACGGAGACACCTCCTCCTCCCTGTCTCTATTTCTCTCATATCCACATGCCATCACCTGATACTTACAACAGGGCTGCCCACCCAGAGCTAGAAGGCTACTCCTGAGACTCTACGGTAGTTCCCTTTAAATGACCAATGATCTCGTTGATACTGGGTTGGGTTAGGCCAGTTGTGTTAGGTGGGTTAACACTTTTTGTGATGGAACCACCCCGCACCACCCTTGGTGAGTAACCCTCTAGAGCCAGGGTCCAGAGGTGCATCTCAATATAGTCTCCTTTTCTTCATCTGCACTGATGTGAATGAACTGCACAGGTGATATCATTATTTATTTGCCGATCCTGATCGCCCTACCAAGTAAGTGCAGGTCAAGGAGAGGAGACGAGGAGAGGAAGCATCTCCAGACTTGAGGCCCTTCTCAGGGTTTGGCAGCCTAGCCACTAAAATGATGTCGACCACAAGATGCATTTAGGTTATGTGTTGATTTACCCACTCTCTCCTACTTACTAATAACACTCACACTAGAAAGGTGTCTTTTAGGAACCCAGGGCTGTTGTTTTTATTATATTTGTATGGTAAGAAGAAGCACAAGGGCAGAGGATCATCACTTACAGACAGTTGTCCATAGTCATCCACAGGAGAGAGGATACAAGGGGTCACAAGGTTAGAGAAAGGTTATTTGGGTACCAGAGGCCAGACATCGATCTGTAGTCCTAATTCTCAATAGATATCTTATGTAGAATCAGGGTTGCATTCAAGATTACATTTACATTTTAGTCATTTAGCAGACACTCTTATCCAGAGCGACTTACAGTTAGTGAGTGCATATATTTTAATTTTTTCATACTGCCCCCCCGTGGGAATCGAACCCACAACCCTGGCATTGCAAACGCCATGCTCTACCAACATCCCTGCCGGCCATTCCCTCCCCTACTCTGGACGACGCTGGGCCAATTGTGTGCCGCCCCATGGGTCTCCCGGTCGCGGCCGGCTACGACAGAGCCTGGATTCGAACCAGGATCTCTAGACCACTGCGCCACTCGGGAGATCATCGTTTTGGAAATATAATGGTCTTCTTGAACGAAAACATTCACTCTAGGGTTGGGCGATATTTGGGGAGACCTCTCCTACGATATGCTACTCCAAATACTGAGATAGCCGATATAATTGATTTGATAATTCCAGACTATGCAATTTTTCTCCTTATTTACTATATTAGAGTCACGTTCTCATTAAAAATCTTAGTATGGTGAAAAAATAAGGCTTCGTTAATTAAGACTTCATGTTCAACATATTGATACAGCATAACTGATAAAACTGCGCAGTTTTGATTTGTAAAGTTCAAATAGAGTCTTGCACATCATTATATATCGCCTTGCACTTCACGATATATCGTGATATTGGATTTAATCATATCGGCCCAACCATAGTTCACTCTGAGTAGTTTACAATGACAGCTGTAAGTGAGTGTGTCATGAAAATGTGTGTGTCGTCGGCACTTAAATGCAGCCCTGAATACTAAGCATGTCTAACCTGTAACCGCTACATTTTTGTCTGTCAGATCTTCACATGCTTGTTTCAGTTTGTAGGGGAGTGGAACCTCATTGCCGTTAGCACATCATATTTTATCTCTTGTCTTCTGTCGTCCCTGGGGGTCCAGTGACCGCTAGAAAGAAAATGTTGAACAAAACATGAGCGAAACCAACAAAAAACTGTTTTTGAATTCCTACTTTGCTTTGACTCTTTAAGTTTCTGTAAACTGGTTTTGTCTGTTGACAGTGTCTCAGTTGATGAAGCGCAGGATAGATGCATTAGCTGTCAGTGTGTGCATGATTCATGTGTGTATATCACACCACTATGAGGCACTTCAGCAGTGGTCCAAAGTAGGCTAGTCTTTCAAAGCTGATATTGTCCTGGTTTCTCTCCTCACTGTCTCATGCTGTTTCTCTAACACAGTGACGTGTCCTAGTTCTCCTACTGTTTTCTCTTTTAGTGCACTATAAGGAAGGTCAGAATCTGTCCTGCTTTTAACAAATCTAAAGCACATTCTTTTTTTACCCTGCAAACATCCTATTTACTTTCCAAGCCTTTTTCGTCCATATTCAATAGCTTTCTAGTCCTGGAAACTTCAGTCTGTATTTACATTGTATTTATGCAAATGATTCAGCCAAGTCTTTCTTGGCAGCACTTACCATTAACTCACCACACCATTGTTGCAGTGGAGATGTTTAGGTATGAGGCACAGAATAATAGGTTCATTTAACCAGAGTGCTCTGCTTGGCGCCTATATCTGTTGTCACAGCATCAGCCTGCTCTGTATCCATAAGGTTGTGACAAAACTTTAGGATGTAAGATTAAGTATTTTATCCTATCTTGATTAATCTCTTGTTGTCATAGGTAAGTTAACACTAAACCTATCCCACGCTACCAAGTTATCACTGTTGGCAAACTCCTGTGTCCCCTGTTGAATAAGTACTTTGATGTTGTATCCAAGTACTGGTTCGCTTGCCTTGCAGAGTATACAACAGTACTTGTCATTTTGTTGAACTAAAGCAGTATTGTGTTCACTGTAATCGATCATGCACCACTAACTCTCAGCTGTGTTGCGTCTAAACAACATTTTGAAACATGAAGGACATTATGAATAATGTATTTGTGGCAAATGTGAATGACTTGTCGAGTAGCTTTTTGATAATGTTGCTGTTTCGCCTTTTGTTATCGTCGAGGCTCCGTCGCTCAACACTAATTAAAGACATGACCTATGTGAGCAATGGAAGTGTGGCCTTTTCATTCACCCACGCATCGACACTAGATGGGAGTGTGTTGCAAAGATTATATATTATCAACTTCACAAGCATACATGATTTAATGTATCTGAGAAGCAGATTCAAGTTCATCGATCTCCAAATTATCATTGTTTACAACAGCTGACATCGAAACTGAATCCTGTCTGGTTTCCTTTTTTAATGTACAGAAAAACATCAACATTTCCAGTGAAACATATGTCTTAGTCACACAATTTTACATCTAACTAAGATGTTTGGTGCAGTATTAAGCAAGTGGAAAAAATTGCATGAATGCTAGTAGTCTCTCGTTGAATGACAAACACTTCATATTCCCCACTCCTACTAGGAGTAGTACTGTTGACCAATCACCGACGAAGGGAGTGTAGACTTTAGCAACTGAACTTCGACTTGACTCAATGAAAAATGTGTGGACGAACAGCCAGAAAAAAAACTGGCGAAGACCAAAACGTCAACATTTTGTCATAGTACACTGCTCAAAAAAATAAAGGGAACACTTAAACAACACAATGTAACTCCAAGTCAATCACACTTCTGTGAAATCAAACTGTCCACTTAGGAAGCAACACTGATTGACAATCAATTTCACATGCTGTTGTGCAAATGGAATAGACAACAGGTGGAAATTATAGGCAATTAGCAAGACACCCCCAATAAAGGACTGGTTTTGCAGGTGGTGACCACAGACCACTTCTCAGTTCCTATGCTTCCTGGCTGATGTTTTGGTCACTTTTGAATGCTGGCGGTGCTTTCACTCTAGTGGTAGCATGAGATGGAGTCTACAACCCACACAATTGGCTCAGGTAGTGCAGCTCATCCAGGATGGCACATCAATGCGAGCTGTGGCAAGAAGGTTTGCTGTGTCTGTCAGTGTAGTGTCCAGAGCATGGAGGCGCTACCAGGAGACAGGCCAGTACATCAGGAGACGTGGAGGAAGCCGTAGGAGGGCAACAACCCAGCAGCAGGACTGCTACCTCCGCCTTTGTGCAAGGAGGAGCAGGAGGAGCACTGCCAGAGCCCTGCAAAATGACCTCCAGCAGGCCACAAATGTGCATGTGTCTGTTCAAACGGTCAGAAACAGACTCCATGAGGGTGGTATGAGGGCCCGACGTCCACAGGTGGGGGTGGTGCTTACAGCCCAACACCGTGCAGGACGTTTGGCATTTGCCAGAGAACACCAAGATTGGCAAATTCGCCACTGGCGCCCTGTGCTCTTCACAGATGAAAGCAGGTTCACACTGAGAACATGTGACAGACGTGACAGAGTCTGGAGACGCCGTGGAGAACGTTCTGCTGCCTGCAACATCCTCCAGCATGACCGGTTTGGCGGTGGGTCAGTCATGGTGTGGGGTGGCATTTCTTTGGGGGGCCGCACAGCCCTCCATGTGCTCGCCAGAGGTAGCCTGACTGCCATTAGGTACCGAGATGAGATCCTCAGAACCCTTGTGAGACCATATGCTGGTGCGGTTGGTCCTGGGTTCCTCCTAATGCAAGACAATGCTAGACCTCGTGTGTCAGCAGTTCCTGCAAGAGGAAGGCATTGATGCTATGGACTGGCCCGCCCATTCCCCAGACCTGAATCCAATTGAGCACATCTGGGACATCATGTCTCGCTCCATCCACCAACGCCACGTTGCACCACAGACTGTCCAGGAGTTGGCGGATGCTTTAGTCCAGGTCTGGGAGGAGATCCCTCAGGAGACCATCCGCCACCTCATCAGGAGCATGCCCAGGCGTCGTAGGGAGGTCATACAGGCACGTGGAGGCCACACACACTACTGAGCCTCATTTTGACTTGTTTTAAGGACATTACATCAAAGTTGGATCAGCCTGTAGTGTGGTTTTCCATTTTAATTTTGAGGGTGACTCCAAATCCAGACCTCCATGGGTTGATACATTTGATTTCCATTGATAATTTTTGTGTGATTTTGTTGTCAGCACATTCAACTATGTAAAGAAAAAAGTATTTAATACGATTATTTCATTCATTTAGATCTAGGATGTGTTATTTTAGTGTTCCCTTAATTTTTTTTGAGCAGTGTATATGCGCTAACTGTTTCGACGGGGAAGCATACGGTAAACTTTAGACAAGAGCGTAGCATCTAACCTGACAGACATTCCTCTTATTTGTCTACAGACAGACTAATTCACTGGCATCTAGCCTGAGCACTGGTCTGTTTCTAATTTAGGCTAGCCAAGT